CATAACGCCGCCCAAATGTTCACGCAAAGAAGGCGTAACTTTTATTCTCGCTGTAGTATTGTTGGTGCCGCCGCCATGTCGTGAAGACGCTGTGTTTCGTTGTGAAAGCGAAACTACTTTGTTTGGCCTTCCAAAAGAGGACACAACTAGAAATCAGTGGTTAAAGGTGGGGTAAGCGATTTTCCAAAAACGCTTTAAAAAACTGATTCGGGCCAAATAGCAAAACAAACTTGTAGCCAATCAGCAGTAAGGGGCGTGTCTACTCAGCGCGATGCAACATAACACGTAAAAAGACAGTATAAGTCATTATAATCAGTAATTATGTCCCCACTGGATGCAACAAATGCCTCTTTTGTAATGGGTTTTATTGGTTTTGTCTCGTTGCACCAGGACAGGGCATCACAGTATGTTAAGGGGCGTAATATTTCAGTCATACGCTTGAGGTATTCAGCCAATCACAATGCACCGGATAGCTGGCCAATCAGCGTACACCTTGCTTTTCAGAACGATAAGCTTTGTAAAAATCGAAGCGTTTCAGAAAGGCGGGGCATAGAGGAGAACAATAATGTACAGTATGTGGAAAATAATGTGTTTTTTTAACCTTAAACCGCATAAACACATTGCATTACACCAAATACACAACATAATGTTCTTTTTAATAACGTCATATAACCCCTTTAACATTCTTCTCCATCATGTGCTCATTATTTGATTAATTACTGCTGCAATAATCAATAAAAAATGCACAAAAGTTTTTAAAGTCTTCATTTTTTATTGTGAACTGCTTAAAGTCCACCTCTTACTTAAAATTGACTACAACCTCATATTCAGATTTGTCTCTATCCGATCAACAAACAGTGGGTAGAACCCTATTTTTATTTTTTTAACTCAGGTTTTTTGTTTTACTCATCACAATACGAAAAAAGAGAGATCTCTCTACTTCCACTGAAATTTTAAATTGAAATTGTTATCTTTCCCATGGCTGGCAATACACAACATTAATATAAATCATTTTACATAATAAATTAGCTGTGTTTGTGCTGAAAAGATTGACAGTGACTTAATTTAAATACAGTTCTGCACAATTTCAGTGCAATTAGTTAAATGGTGCTGCTAGCAAATAAGATGCAGAATTTTGTGTTAAAAATAGCATCTTCACAATTGTTTAATGAATTATTTCCGCAATATTATAAAAGAAATTGTGTGTAAGTTTAGTGAAAAGAGACCACATATGCTCAAATACAACCTCATTATAGCTGCAGTTAGTCATTCAAATAGATGAATGTTTAAAACCTCAATATACCAATGAGTTTTATCCTTGACTTAAGTCTTCAGTGCATTTGCAAACTGTAAATAAAAATTGTCTGGCAAGCTTGACCTAAATAAAACCTAAACCTACAACACTTAAAGGAATTTAAATGCCAATATGTCATGGTACTTGTATGTAACCTGGTACACTATCAGATAAAATGTGCAAAAATTGTACCTTTGGAGTATAACAGCTTGTCACTGAGGCAGAACCCTTAAAGAACAACTTTGTACCTTATCTACCCCTGAATATTTATGCTGTTGACTCCGTGGTATGAAAATCTTCCAAGGGAGAATAAAGCATGGGGTGTATAGTTTGGACATGAAAGCAGTCTACGTAGAATTCTGAAGTAATCTCATGAGACAACAACCCACACACTCTTTAAACAGAAATGTCTTGCCAACATAGTGTTTAATATTTAAAAGTCAATATATAGCAAAAGGAGGAAAAAACACTTAGCTTTCAATGTCCTCGTTTTCCCAGTGAGGCATGAACTTAAAGGGGTCCTATTATGCTTTTTCACTTTTTGAATTTTAGTCAGTGTGTAGTGTGTATGTTTGGGCATAAAATAGATCTTCAAACGGTGTTTTTATATCACTGTATTTCTGAAGGAAACCGACTGTCTTCAGAAAATTGGATGTCATTTTCATTTAAATTTGCATGTAATGTCTGATAAAGCAGTGTTTTTTTGAGCAGAGCGCTGCTTTGTGTACAGCCATTACCAGGGAAACCTTGATGTCTACCACTCCAACAGCGCCTCCTGTCTTGCAATATCCATGCATGCAAAGGTTCTGCGCGATCCTCTTGTTCAATATTCTCTGGGTCTGAATCTGCCTCAAATTGATATGGCAATACTGACACCATCCTTAACTAAACCGGAGCAGACGTAACTTTGCTTTGGCAAGGGGCGGGGCAGTACTGAAACACCGTCTAAGCTGTTCGCCAATCACAACTCACTGGGACAGCTAACCAATCACATCACATTTCGTTTTTCGGAAGGCGGGCTTTCATCAAACCCGGAACTAATCGAGCCTTTTGTGCCAGGATGGGGAGAAAGGTATTGTAATAATGTAAATTATGTACAAAATAATGCTTTTTTTTGAACCACCAAGCATGAGAGCATGTTCTAGTACACCCCCAAAACAAATTCAAGACATTGAAAAAGAGCATAATAGGACCCCTTTAAATACTATTTGAGTAGAAATATGTGCCCTTACTGTATATAAGATGGGCACTGGCCCAGTGACAAGCTGTTGTTGCTTCTAAAGGTACAATTCCTTAAGGGTTTTAGGTTTTAACTCCTAAGAGTCCATGGAGTTATAATCCAAACGTTGTCTAAACATTAACATACTGTATCAAGGAGCCGAGAGTAGCTGCACTCTCATGACTTATCAAAAGTTGATTTATTGCCACACAATGCTTTAGTGCTTTTTATTGTACCATTTGATCTTGAGTTATGTAGTCATTTATAAGCTTCAGAGCTTTTCATTTTCACTTGTGAACCTGAAAAGCTACTAATGCTATTCAAAGTCTATTTGAAGTTCTTTCAGCATTTAAACATGATTTCTGTCACATTGAAGGCTGTACAAACTTTCTTTAAAGCCCTGGTGCTGTCATAATGCTGTCATAATTTATGATAACAAACCAGGTTTTTTTCTTTTGACTGGAAGACAGAAAGAATTCATTAGCGGCTTCACTCAGCCATTTTGTAAAGAGCAGAGTTTGTGTGCATGAAAGGCAAGTTTATAACTGGCTTAGTTTCGCACAACTTGAAAGTGGCTGTCTACATTTTCAATACACAAATCAAAATCAAATATGGCAAAACACAAAACAGGAAATTGCATTTATCAATTTACTAATTTACTCACTTTCATAAAAGAAGATATTTTTTTTATGTTTTTTATCCATACAATGAAAGTCATTGGGGTCTAATGATATCACAAACAAAATTTTCATTATTGGGTGAATGACCCCTTTAAAAATCAGTATCAGGTGCATTTAAAAGCCTGATAAGACTATTATTCATTTGGCTCTCAGGATGTATACTGTAAAAAAAAAAATTGTAAATAAAACAAAGCTTTTTGGAGTTACAAGAAAATACTATTTCAGTCTGTCTACTTAAAAGTTTTTCATGTAATTCAGTGTTTTACTTGTTTCTGTGTAATTATTTGTGAATTTTACTAGCAATTCCTGAGTGAAAATTGTTTTAAAGTACACAATTTTTTCCCAGTGTGTTCTTGTAATGTTTATCATGTCTGTAATGTTATTACCAAACCCAAAGCTAACATTAGCTCATCTCAGGCCAGTATAATATTGAATTACTGTAAGTCAGTCAGTTCCAGATGAGTGGAGAACTGAAAGGGGTTTAAAACGAGGTCAGCATAGTGCACAATAACAGCCAGTGTCATTGATTTGATCATGATGTCTGAAATGTTTGTTCAGTTTTGGACTGGGTTGACTAAGTTTGTAAGCCATGAGGCTTTATAGGGATCTCGCTGCCCCTTTCAGGTTTAGTCAATGTAAAGGAACACCCTCCTCTCTAATGACTGATCTCAGATCAATGCTATCCTTAAAAGCAGAGCAACAAAATGAACAAAGCTCCTTCTCGACATGTTCTGATAGATCTAACTGGCATCTCTGAGCTCAGATCTATGGGTAATCCATACAGATGTGTGTAGGTGGTAGAATTAAACATTTGCTTTCTGCAGTCTTGTTAGTCCTGTTGAATCATTATGTTTTCCTTTCGTTCCCAAGCTCTTGTTCATGCACAAGTTAAAATTCAGCTGCTTTTCTGTGTGCAGAAAAATGTAAGACTCAACTCTCTGTACACTCCATGTACACACAGAATAATTATAACTATGTTTGATATAACATTGTGAATGAATGTTGCAGTGCATGCTAGAATAAAACAGTCAGGATTTCATCGCTGCAATGCAGTGCTCTTGAAAAAACAACATTGGAGCAGCTACACAGCACAGATGTGATGAAGGGCTGTGAGAATGCATTGATATTCACATCCTCTTATTCTCAAAAGCTTGCGTCTGACATTTATAAATGCCTCTATCCTTAGAGAAATGCAAATATTTTGCATGAGTAATGAATATTGTTTATTTTCACTCAGATTTGTAATGTGCCTTTTTAACAACTGCAGTATCAACACATTTAACACTTGTCCTCTTTTTCAGTTTTTTTTTCAGAGCTAGCTGGAGCAGTTTTCATCAAAGGAAACTATTGATATAATTTCTTACAAAGGTCTTTTTTCCAAGACTATTGCAAAAAATTATGTGGAATTATCTTGGAATTATATGCTGTCTGTAAAATGTGTGATTCTTTTTTTTTCCGCTGACAGACATCTTGACAATCTGATTAACTACTGTGTACCCAAAGTTGAATTACATGAAGTGAAAAGCCTTGAAATTGTTATTAGAGGTCTGATGAATCATATCTAATTAGTATATGAATGCTGCATTCGCACAGCTTTTATAGGCCTATTTTAAGGACAGTCATAGAAACTCAACTGTACTTCATGAAAATAAGGTCTGGTTTCCAGTATAGCAGACTAATGTCGTGATTTATCTTGATGCAAAATCCAATGTGTCAATCAAAATCCAAAATAAATTAAACTGTACTTTGCAAAAAGAAGCTATTGTTTCGAGTAGCAGGCTGAAAACTGAATACTTTGATTAGTCTCAATGCTGCAAAAATTCATCCTGAGATGAAATTCGCAGCTCAGATTGATAAAATGTTCTTCCTTTAGGTGTCTAATTAATTACTTCATAATTGTCTCTGCAATTTGTTTCACAATACAAACCAATAGGCATTTAAATGTAATGGCCCTCAACACTGCACTATTCAGTAATCCAGCTCTTGTGGGAAGAAGCACACTGAACTGAATGTGCAAATTACTGTTCTCATTAAAGTCTTATGATCCTCATAATCATTTTAATTGCCCTGAGTAATGAATGAGTCAACACAGACTGGAAACCTTAGTTATGACATGAAATCAAAACCAAGAGAGACTGGGTAACATGTATTACCACTTATTACAAACAGGACAGACACAGGACAGATTTTGGCATTTTGATCACATTTTTTCAATACTGAGCTGTGGGACATTTCATTCCTTCCCTTAAATAGATTCAAAAGTTAAATAGGGTCAAACTGTTTCTAGGAATGTCTCAGTTGGAGGAAAAGTGTTTTACCGTTAAGTAAACTATATCTATTTTCATATCATAATCTTTTCCCAACATGCTCTTGCTAGCAAACAGTACATTTTTACAAGAACTCTTGGGTAAAAAACTCACAAACGCTGATCAGTAGAACTCACAATGATAGAGGCATGCTTATATAATATTATTCAAGTTCATGCCTCACTGGGAAAACAAGGACATTGAAAGCTGAGTGTGAGTACCCTTTTTGCTACTGTATACTGACGTTTAAATATTAAACATTATGTTGGCAAGACATTTCTGTTTAAAGAGTGTGTGGGTTGGTGTCTCATGAGATTACTTCAGAATACTATGTGGGCTGCTTTCATGTCCAAACTATACAGCCAATGCATGCTTTTACTCTCCCGTGGAAGATTTTCTTACTACGGCGTCACAGCTGAAACAATTCTTATGTGCATTTTGTTTAATCGCAAATAGCAAGTAAGCTATCAGACTGAGGTATTTTAGACACAAGGTTATTTAGATGAACAGATCATTATGGCACCTACTCCTCACTTGAAACCATCAGTTATCTTCAGATCAATATGTACAGATTAACCACATTCACCTCTTTACCATCTTTGAAGAAACAATTTGGTTGCACGATTGCCTCTCTAATAGCAGCAGGCAAGCTATTTGTTGCCTAAACGTATGACACTTCTGCACCATAATATCTTAATATCAACACTCACATTTATGAAGGTGTCTGAAATGCATTTGGAAGCAGTGCTACAACCACTGTAGACATCAAAAGGGACACTTTCCCCTCAAAATATTGTGATCGCTGGTCGACCAATGTGTTTTAAAGGATTTAATCCTTCAATATTTGTTTCCCCTCAATCATCCTTGTTTGAAAGTCAACACTATTTTAAAAATCTTCATTCAGCTATGAAAATCGTCACAAAACCACTTCTCAGACTGTAAAGATATAGAGATATTTCAGAAATATTAATAGAATGCTAGTATTATGCTTAGCCACTGTCTTATAGCAGCAGAGGCTCCATTCATTCGTATTTCTCTGAGCAATCTGTCTGTCACGTGTACACGAGCGCGCTGTGTCTATTACGGTAGACAGAGCTGCGCTGATATTGTGTATGTGTGACATTACGGTAAATGTATAGATCCGTCGGAGTCTTGGTTGTTTGCAAACCCAAAAGAGCACTGCAATGTAAATTTATCAAGAGAATAATCGGACGGCATATCGAAAATAGCGCAGCAGAAAACCTTCAGAAGCTTCTTTCAACCACACTGGTGAGAAAAATATTAATTTATTAGAGATTCAATATCTTTGTGTGGTCGCTACACCTATCAACCTCACATAGTTATACACGGGAGTAACCTACTGGCTACTCTCACTTGACTTCTAACAGTGAATCGGACGCGGTGTCGCAGGAATGGTAAAGAGTGCGCTTTTCTGCTTTAGGAAGTTTATTTTAATTCACTCTTGAACAGACCACGCTTGATGCTGCTCAACATGTGTTTTACAAAGTAATATGTAGCACACAAACAGCTTGAGTATTGAGGGTAAGCGCGACAACTTACTGTTCCACAAAACGCACACTGGTTTGACAGTTATGAACGTTTGTTTAAGAAGCACATCCGTTAAAACGTAAGATTTCCCCACTTACTGAGAGGCTTGAATCACATTTTAACGTTATTAAATAATTGTCATTCTTACCAACCGGTGCATTTCGCGCGGCTCTGGAGGAGGTTGGTTGGTGAGAGAGAGTCCCTTACATTGCAGTTTGTAAATGCGCACAGCTTTTACTACTGTTTTTTCTCTTTCTGGTCGGTCTTTCCGCGAAATATGTATCCTTTTCATTCGGAAAAGCTGACTTTAAAGTAAAAGTTGAAGATTTTAGGAAATAGCGACCATGTCAAACTAAATGGGGGAAAACTGTGTTGGGATATAGTGTAGACCAGATGTGCCTAAAATAATCCGTTTTTAATAATAATCATGATAACAGGGTTGACAATTCAAGTTAAAATCCTTTTTGAAGTTTCATTTAATAAGGGACTTTTTTATCAGTGTTTAAAAATACTAAATAACATTATTATAGCTATAAATTATATAATAGAAATAATATTACCAACAGGGGCGTAGATTACGCGGGGGACGTGTCCCCCCCACTTTTAATATAACGTAAATTCGTCCCCCGCACTTTTTCGGGCAAGTGTGTTCGCATAGAGGTTTTCAAGAGCCGGTGTGAATAAATATAGATTTAAATTCAAAGAGATAGTATAGTCTGTGCATGATCTGATGTTTTATTCGGACCCAGATTAAGACGAGATGAACATCGCGGAGCGCTAAACACGTTTCATTCATAAATGTTTCATTCATACTCGAAGCCGGAGGGCGCTCTCGCGCAGAAAGTCGTACGAGGAAATGGACAAAAGCGTCCAGCTATCGCTGTATGAAAACAGTTGTTTTCACAGAAAAACAGAAACGTTTGGAAACATGAAGACATTAAAGGTACGATTGCGACAATACACAATATATGGTTTATTTGTGTTTGTCAAGTCATCTCCAGGTAATAAATAAAGTATATGAACAATGCAGTGCTAACTGACATAGCATTTATTACAGTATAGAAACTATTCTGCCTTATGTGATAAAAAAGTGTTTGTAGTATATAAAAAAATCATTATTATTGGTTATTGTCCAGCAGTTATCTGATTTCTAAGCCAATTAAAAGCTAGAAATTAGAGAAAA